TAACAAAAAGTGCTTTTCCAAGCTTAACTAGTAAGTGGTCAGAAAAGATCCTTCTGCCTTAATTAACCCAGCTAATTGTTGCAAGCACAAAAGTATGCTGTTAGATATTGCACAATAGGTATGCAAGATCTTTATTCCCTTGTCAATTGCCTTTATTAAGATTTGCTTCCTTAAACTGCTATTAGTACTATTACTACTATTAATAGTAAAAGAAGACAAGCTCCACCTTTGGAAAACAATATGCCTATGAATGAAAATATGTCTGTGTGTGCATGCGTATGTGTATGTATGTGTATATAATATGTATGTATGTATGTATGTATGTATGTATGTATGTATGTATGCTGATCTTGTTGTATTTGGGTCTTTTCCCATGTAAGATTGAGTATTGGATGCAGACAAGACCATTAATATGAGGGTCTTGTCTGCATCCAATACATAGCACTTGTTGTTTTAGAAATTAAATTCCCCCTCCCATCAATACAAGAGTTCATCTCATTAGCAGCAGGGATGGTTAAATGTTACATCGGAAGATTGATGGGGTATTTTAGAATGTAATCAGCTAACAAGAGTATACAACTAAAAAGGCAGGCATGCCAAGTGGCACAGGACAGGCAAGAATTTACCAAGGGCTCGACGCACTCCCCTCCTCTCTGCCCACCCCCTCCACAGCCCCAGATGCCCACTGCTGCTGCGCCTGAAGCATGGGAGCGCTCACCAGCCGGCAGAACGCTGGAGTGGAAGAGGTGGATGTCATGTCCCGTCCAATTCCCTCTACAGATACCCCCCAAAATCTGGTAAGGCGGAGCGAGCAGGGGGTGGGGGGAATATGCGAGAGGTTTCCAGGGAGTCCTGCATGGCAGGGTTTTGCGTGCGCTCCATACTCTGAGTTGAGGGAATGGTGAGCTCATTTCCCTGCCCATCCACCCGCTCACTCGCTATGCTACCCCACCCATGCGAGCGGCAGCGGATGGGCGGGGGAGCGATCGATCGAAGAAAGCGCCAAAATTAAAAAGCGGGATCTTTTGAGAATGGCCCGGAACGCGGGGCAAATTATGAAAAAGCGTGCCTGTCCCGCCAAATGCAGGACGTCTGGTCACCTTATGCTAGTCATTCCCGACTCTAGGGGTTGGTGCTCATCTCCATTTCAAAGGTGAAGAGCCAATGCTGTTCAAAGACATCTCTGTGGTTATGTGACCAGCATGACTAAACACCGAAGTCACACGGAACACTGTTACCTTCCTACCAAAGGTGTTTCCTATTTTTTCTACTTGCATTTTTACATGCTTTCGAACTGCTAGGTTGCAAAAAGCTGGGACAAGTAACGGGAATTCATCAACAGGCCCAGTGTCTTAGCCACTGAGCCACTGGGTCCCTTATATTTAGATATATAAGCTGCCAAATCAAAAGATAAATGCATTTAGGTAGTCCTTGATTTATGGCCATAACAGAGTCCTAAATTACAGTTATAAGTTGTTATAGTTGTAAATGAGGCACCCATGTGACCAGAAATACATTTATGGCTTTTTCTATGCAGTCTATGGAGATTGTCAGTCATCCAGTTCATGGTTGTCCCAAGGACTGAAGAAGCTTGTTGGATGAGAAGTGAAATGTCTTCAAGGAAAAACAAAGAATGTCAGTTGCGTCTTGAAAAACACCTTTGGGACTTTCATGGCAATCATTAAACAAACACCGCAGTTGTTAACAAATGCTGCAGTCATTAAAGGATTACTGTTTTTGCTCAAAACTAGTAAAAAATGTCAGAAAACAGCAAAAAAAAAACCTTTATAAACTGGATTCATGTGACTGTGGAATGATGTGCTGAGTCCTAAACAGGTCATCAGGCCATCACATAACTTCAGAGAGAAATGTGACTATTTACATTGGAAGATATGCTTTACAGGCTAGAAAGCACCCATACCATGACTGTCACAACTTTGAACAGTGATAAAGTGATGAATGGTTAAACAAGAGCTATCTGTAGCATTGAAACAGTGAAAAACAATAAAAGTTCCATAATAGCAAAAAGTTCCATAAATTACAGAGCACTGGACAGAAAAAACACCAATCAAACATTTTTCACATGATGGGTTTACAAATTACATTGCATTCTGTTTCAAAAGCCAATTTGTTACACCTTTTCTAAAACATGTTAAGGTTGGGCCAGAAAAACCTTCAAGAGGATGATATTGCAGATGACAACAGAGAGAGCATGGCTTTGAGATCCCACAAGGTGGCACTGGGTAATCACCTCTTTGCTCTCATAGGACAGGTAAAGATAATTGCAGAAAGGCAGTGTAAAAAAATAGATTTAAACCATCTATGCCAGGGGTGTCAAACTGGCAGCCCATGGACCAGCTGTGTGTCACATGCAAATGGGAAAATGTCACGTGATGGCAACGTGACCTGGCAAGTTTGATCTATGACCCATTATCTATGGCTTTACAGAGTACAAGCAGCATGGTTTGCATTCAGAAGCCAATGTGCAACTCCTAGAGCCAAGGAGTTAGAAGGGTATAACAAGGTGCTTGTTGAGCCACATTCTAGATCAGGGTCTCCAACCTTGACAACTTTAAGCTTGGAGGACACCTTTACTTTGCTGGCTGCAGAATTCTGGCAGTTGAAGTTCGCCAGGCTTAAAGTTGCCAAGGTTGAAGATCCCTGTTCTAGACCATCTTTAGCTTCCAAGCCAAGGCAGCTCCATCTAGAACTCTTAGAGAATACTGCACATATTAGTAAAGTGCATTTATAGATCAACATGACCAACATAGTACATGATCACTTACCACTTTGTTTTTTAAAGCCACTTTAGCAAATCCCGTACGGGTACTCCACTCCAGATTGTAGTTTTCATTACTAAAATTTTGCTCTCTCAATCCACCAGGTGCTATTCCTAATAAGTAGCCCCTATTCAGAACATCAGCACAGAATGTTTGCTTGCCTTCGATGCAACCTACTATATCAAGACATAGTTTTATACCTGTAAAAAATGGAGGAAATAAACTATTGTATATGAATATAATTTATACCAAATATATTATCCAAATATCTCAAAATAGAATTGGGGGTAGATAAAGGGTGAGATACAGAATGACAATGTCTGTCCTTGTTTCAACTTGGACAACAGTGTGATTGTTGGAGTTGTTTTCAGTGGAATTCATTGTTAATGCTTCTTTCCCCAGTTTTACTCAGGGATTCGGGAGCAAGACATAATGAAGGATACTCCTTACATTTTCTGTTCAATGGAAACCAAACCAAACAATGGTTAGAGAGATATAGAAATCTTCTTTGTAATATATTTTTCTTGACATAGAAGTTGACTTCTGACAAGTTCCTGGACAAATCTCAGCAGTTTTGTTGGCAAAATTTCAGAAGTGGTTTGTCATCACCTGTTTCCTAGGGCTCAGATGAAGTGACTGGTTCAAGATCATGCTTGTCATTTTGTGTCAAAGATGGGACTAGAACTCATCGTCTCCCAGTTTCTAGCCTAGTAACATAAGCACTATACCAAAGTGCTCTCCTGACATATGGTTAACTACAGGTCAAGCAAAGTCAAATTCTTTTTGGAGAGCAGCAGATTTTTTTCAGTGACTTTTTCTCTCTTTCTCTATCCCATTTATAATATGGTGAATTCATTCAGTTTCTATAATGTATGTATCTTCGTATGCAATTACAGTGGTACCTTGTTATTCAACTGTTTTGAAACTCATCAAATTTGGTACACAACACATTTTGATGTGAAAATTTTGTACCCGTATTTGTTTTTCGTTGGATACTTGACACTCAAGCTAGAAATTGTTGATGTTGTTTGCCTTATGACTATTATATTATGTCTCATGAAAAAAATTGTTTGATACTCATTGTTTTTGGTACTCTTTGTGTGTCCCAAAACCAATTAATGATGAATACCAACATACCACTGTATAAGAACATATTTAGATTTATTTAAACCAGCAGTTGAAATCAAACTTTCTAGGACAAAATCAGAATTTCTTGAAAAAAGAAGCATTCTCTTTATTATTTCTTCTTGCACCTTTGGAGATGAAGTGAACACATTATTTTGAAGTGCCTTTTTCTCATAAAGGAAATCTTCTGATAGCTGAACTGGTCCCTGTGGTCAGGGGTGAGATGACTATTGCCATCCAGTACTTCTTTTAATGGAAGAAAAATATGAAATTTCAATTTGGCTTTTCCTTCTTGGAAGTAATTTGTTTTCCAATGGGGCAAAAACCCTTAGTTCACCTAATCTTGTCTAAACAATAGTTTAAATAACAAATCCCCATTTGATCCCCAAAGAAGAAAACTGAACTGCCAGTCATTGGGCAAGCTATTTGGAGACATTCAAAGAGACTTTTTAAACTACTATAGCTACAGTACTATTGAATACCACATGTTCTAAATAGCTTGCAGATTACAAAAGAGAACAAGTTGCCAATCCAAATCTTAATAAGGTCACTGCAGGATTTTGCTCTTTGGACCACACCATTCTTGGATAAAGAATATCTTAGCTATTCTCAATCTTACAATCTAGGACCTAACCAGATGATAGGTTAGAGCTGCCTGGCATGCTGAATACAACTTATGAAGTTTTAAATGATATTTAAAAGATAACAAACTAAAGCTAGTGGATTATAGCTGATTTTCTGGATCACAAGTTGCAAACTTTTAATAGTCCCTTTAAAACATTTTGCATATCTTTGAAGACATGCCAATTGTCATATGCTGGCATCACACTAGAAAAATGATTTTTTAAAAAGATTTAGAGTAATTTGCTATTATCTACAGTAACTGCTTCTTGCAGCAACCATTCACAGTTACAACAGCAATGAAAAAGTAATTTTGCAACCAGTCCTTACAGATTTGTAAAGCAAAAGAAAGCTGAAGTAAGATTATAAATACAGATAATAAATACAGTAATTTAGCTACCCTTTTAGCTAACCAAGTTGCTAGTCCTAATTGTAGTAACTAAAAGAGAACCATCTTTAATTTTAAATACCTTACCTGGTATTAAATAAAAGAAACAATGAACCACAGATTGGATTGTTCTTCCAGTCTTTGCATAGACTTTAGCTATAAGCATGATATAGTCAAAAACTACGGCTCCATGGTAATAAACAATCAGTCCAGGTCCTTGGGGTAGATTCTCCATACCGATAACCTCATAACCTGAACAGAGTAATTTTTTGTTTGTAGAGGATTCATGGAGATAAAGTAAATTCATTTATAACAGAGAAAATACATAGTGCAGGGTAGGATATTTTCTTAACCAGATATTTTGCGACCTCTACCAGCAATTTCAGGCAGCATAACCAAAATCTTTCTAAGAATACTGGGAATCAGGTTCTAAACATATCTGGCAGATTTTTAAAAATGCTAAATTGTAACACTGAATGGTTGCTGCAAGAGGCAATTGCTGTAGATAATAGCAGGTTACTCTAAACCTTTTTTTAAAAAATCACTTTTCTATGTGATGCCAGTGTCTGACAATCATGGGCAATTCTGACAAGTGGGGAGAGGGTAGAAGCCACCTTGCAGCCATTCCTTATCAAGTCCCACAGAGTTAGATTTTTCTTCTCTCAACTCTGCCCAAAATGGCCACAAGCTCCAAACTGAACTTGTATTATTATGAAAAGTGTGGCAAAACTTTTATTATTTCTTGTAACATGCTTCTGTTGTTCTGCAGCTTTATTCAATTTTGGAAGAAAGTAATAAGTGAGATGGGCTAGGTGTATGATTGGTCTGTACAGCACTTTACCAGTAACTCAGATTCAATAATCCCATGATTATTCACAAGCAAAGTCCTGACTGTGAAACTGTCTTTGATTTTGATGAAGTAGACAGATTGTTCTCTGGTATGTTGTTTGGCATCTGATAATTTAATTTGTGTACTTCTGGCTCTTACCTAAAACATGGATATGTATAGGGGCTTATTCTCTGAGGTGCCTCATCATAAGAAGGGGTGGTACATGGAATCTTGAAGGAAGTTTGGATATACTCCATTCTCAATCCAATCATTCTTTTCAACTATCTCCCAGCATTGAACCTACCCAGAGGTGGGTTCCTACCAGTTCGACCCGGTTCAATTGAACTGGTAGTGGTATGCCGGCTTGGGTCACAAAACCGGCAGCAACCCAGGCTGGCCATGCCTCTCTGGTCCCCGTAGTTGCTGCCGCCATACATTTCTATTGACCTGTGCATGTGCACCCAGCGCATGCGTGCAAAGCATGCACACAAGCAAACCGGTAGAAACACTGGCTAGAACCCATCCCTGGACCTACATTTAAAAAGAAAATGTTGAAAATGTGATTGTAGGCCCAGCTATATAGCACTCTAGTAGAAACAGATTGTCTATACTACTGACTCTCAACTAGTCAGGGTCAACATTTAATGTTTGCTCTTGTGAATAACCCTTATGTAGGGCTGGAAGGAGATAGTACACCCCTCCCAGACCTTTAATAACTATTTATATCCTTCTTGGCTGGTTGGAGATTGAAGGTATTGTACTGAAGAGATTCCACTTCTACCTTCCTTCATGGGCAATTCAGGTCAGTAAGGGGGAAAGAATATAAAACTAATTCTGGAGGTCATCTGTCCGTTTTGAGTCATGTATCATTAACATTGTTATGAAACCCAATTGTACTTATAAGCTGTGCAGAAGACTCTACTATTAGGCAGCCGTCATAATCATAATTGAGCCTGGAATTATGATCATAAGTCATAGTGTTCATTAAGGGGCTGCCATGTGACCACATCCGAATTTAACACTTTTTTTCTGACAGTTGTTAAACAAATCCATTTTATCCAATGAGCATTTTTTGCCAGAAAATGGAAGTAAACTTCAGCCAAAAAAAAAATCCATCCCAAATGCTGGAATTGGTTTGTAAGTAACTTTTAGTGGGTTTGTTGTAACTTTGAATTGTTGCTAAATCTCCAGTTGTGAATCTGGAAGGTTACCTGTATATTGACTCACTATCAGGACTTAGTTAGGATGTGGATGGTACAAAATTGAGTGACATTGAACTCCAGCAAGTTGAAGTTACTGTTGTTAGGTTAAACTTTCATGGATAGAAATATTCAATATCTGAAATGTTGGCTCTAGAATTTAAACTTAAATTTGACACAGTGTTTGTGTTAACTAAAGTTGTCCTAATATATTAAGCCGAGGTGGCGCAGTGGTTAAATGCAGCACTGCAGGCTACTTCAGCTGACTGTAGTTCTGCAGTTCGGCTGTTCAAATCTCACCGGCTCAGGGTTGACTCAGCCTTCCATCCTTCTGAGGTGGGTAAAATGAGAACCTGGATTGTTGTTGGGGGCAATATGCTGACT